AAAACCTGTCAAAAAAAAAAAAAAAAAAAAAGTAAAAAGGTAGGAAAATGTAGCTCAGGGCAACCTGGGATTCTATCCCCAGTACCAAAGAAAAAGGGGTGAGGAGTCTGTGGTTTCTTACCATTACACAACTCCCAGTGAAGGTGTCAAAGAAGCTCTACTACCTTCACCTTAGAAGAGCTTTAAACTAAGTAGGACAAGCCAGGCATAGTGGTGCATGCTGGTAACCCCAGCACTCAGCAGGCTGAGGCAGGAGGATTGCTGCCAGTTCAGACAAGTCTAGGTTGCAAAGTGAGGTCAAGGCCAGCCTGAACTCATAGCAAAACCCTGCCCTTAAAAAACAAACAAACAAACAAAAACAAACAAACCTAAGGATAAGAATATAGATACTTAATAAATTTGTCTGGTTCTCTTTTTGTGTTTTCTTGGGCTGTGAGGTGGCTAGAGGTGGTAGAAATAGTAAAAGCAAAATGCTAGCGCAATTGACCAGACTAACTGGAAAGTAACTGCCTGGGAAAGTTAAAACTGAGACGTGTTAATGATGGCCCAAAAAGTTGCTTTGGCACTTACCCAGAGATTTATCAATGAGAACGGATCGCAGGTTTCCACGGGTCGTTATAGTCGTGAACCTTGGGTCCCTTTTTCACTAGTCAACAGTCACCCTCACCTACACGCGGAGTACATATTTGGCACTCAACAAATCTTGACTGAATGAAAATCAATCTCATAACTGGTACCCAACCCCGGAGTGAGGGCCCCATAAATTACCTTCAAAAACCCTCAAGATCTAGCTCAAAGAGCTGAGAATGTCGATAGGAATACTCCGGGGATCCGTGTAGACTGGTGACAGTCAAGTCAAAGGGACCTGCGCCAGCCCGAATTTTCAAAGGAAACGGGGGCTCGAGGGACTGAACCCAAACCAGCCAGCTTTGACTTTCACAAGGAGGTAGTCAATGGGCCGCAGAGCCATAGCCTCCCAACCGGGGGCGCTGAGAGCTCTGGGGGTATCCCTCCCTTCCAAAAAAGTTAGTACCTGCGAAGCTGTGGCACAGAGAGAGGCGAGGAGCTCTCATTACGGAGGCCGGGGCCGGGGCCCGCCAGCCGCGCCTCTCGGGTGAGGTTCCGAGCCCCGGGACTGCAGTGACAGCGGGTCAGACAGCCACCGCACGCCTCAGGAGGCTCCTGGCTCGCAGGACTCCAGGCGTTTTACTTCTAGGACTGAGCAAGTTGTCTCACTCACGTCGGCTTGTCTTCTTCAGGGCTCCTCTCTTCCACCAAGCGATCACTCCTGCCTTAACCCAGCAGGCAGTTCCTCCCCGGCGCCGCCATCGTTAGTGTTTGTTTTCATTCGCTTCGGTGCAGGCGGTGGTGATGCTGGAGGTTATAGGGGAAATCTAGCTGCCTAACTTCAGCTACACTTTCGCTACACCACTAAAGTCCTATTTACTCCTTTGGCTCCGCGAAATATACATAAAACTTTATCTCTTTCCATATAAATCTTCCTATGTAATTTTTCAAGCCCATCAGAAAAAGGTAAAGGAGGATACCAGAGAACCTTTGAGAAAGTGAAGCCGTAGTACTTTATATGGAATGTGCGGCCGCGAAACGCAGACTGAGGCAGCAGTGGCAGTGAGGACGCGGGCATGGGCGTGGGCTGACGTGAGGGGGCGGGGCTGCGGTTGCGCACTGTGGCGGCGTGCGTGCGCCGCGGGTTCCGGAGGCGGGCCGGTTGGCCGGGCTGGGTGGGTGGGGTGCGGGACCGTAACCTGGCAGCGGCGGCGAGGTGGGTGTACAGCCTTCGCTTACGTGGAGCGGCCGGCGGAATCACACTTCGGTATCCATGTTTAAGGCGCGCTGTAAATGTGGCGGAGTTGCCCGCAGCTGGCGCTCAGCCTCTTCCTTAGTTCCTTTCTCTCAAACTGATTGGTCTTCTTAGATGCTAGCCCGCAACCTCAAGAGGTGAATTTCTTAGCCGGGCGTAGTGGTACAAGCCTGTAATCCCAGCACTCAGGTTGAGGCAAGACGATTGCCACGAATTCGAGGCCAGTGTGGGGTGCGTAGCAAGATGATGTCTCATGGATTTTTAAAAAATTTCTTGAGGTGCGGAGAAAGCCTGTTATTAATAACATACAAGCCCCCCAGTTTGGTTCGTGGGCTACCCCCTTCCTCGTTAGGCTGGCTTGTGCACCTTCGCACTTGCCCACACTTACCAGGTAGAGCCATGGGACTCTGTATGACAAACCTGTGACTGATCCTTACCCAAGGCAGTTAGGGTGTGTCAGCTGTTTCACAGCCTGTTTAATTAGGAGCGGAAATCTTTTACCTTGTGAATAATTATGCCATCCCTTACATTAATATTTTGTCATTTTCATTTGATTTTTTTTTTTTTTTTTTT